TCAATTCCTTTGGGGCAATGCGATGCCCCTTGTGTCGAGCCACTGAAAATGGCTCTTGGGTTATCCCCGGAGAAAGGGTGGATGATCCAGCTTCTTCTGAAGAAGATGAACCTGAACCTGAACCTGAATTTGTAAGTGTCGCTTTAGCATTTATAATATTTCAAAATTTCAATTTAGTTGTGGTTCAATTAATTTAAATTTATGTTAGAAAAGAACATTCCTAGATAACATGGATCCTTAACTTGTTGAAATTTTACTTTAAGTTCTATAGTACTAATATTTCCTCTGTTCTCACATGCTTTCCACAAGAGTCCATTAGATTGAGATTTGAAACAAAGTACTAAAATCTTTTCTGAATGCAAGCAGAAGCAACACTAACTTGTATCTTAAAATAAGAACTGACTTTTGCTCCTTGAACCCTTAGGTTTCCATGAATTGCCTAGCTTGATTTAATTGTTCTTTGACTGCAAAGTTGGTTTTTTTCATGCTTGCTCTTATGTTCTTGATGATTGGTACTGCATACTCTAATATGCACAGTGATGTTTTCAGGAGGAATTTGAATGTATTGATTGGGATCTGTTTCCTCTTCCAGAAGGGTAAGCAAGCGTTTCTTCTTTTCTTGATTGCAAATCCTCCTATTATCTTTACTATGATGCATAGTTGAAATGCTGCTAAATTTAGAAGTTATCTGTGTTATAAATGCTTTGCCCCTTGTATAATACACCCCTCAGATGGAATATTGATGCCTCATTCATACTTTGCAGGTTGACAGCAAGAGTACTCCGTAAGTTATTGTGGGGTTTTAAAATAATTTTTATCTTCATTTTCTCCATTTCTTTTGGTTACAAAGAACTTGGGAGATTGTTTTTATGAAATACTCTAATGTTTGTTGATGATGCACAGTCTGTAGGGTGTTTCCACAGAATTCACAGCCTCCCACCTTGGCTGCTGGTAATGCTGACCGTTCTCCAACACTCTATCATCGCTATATCCGTGCTTCTGATATCATTGATGAACTGAATCAGAACTGGAATCAACCACTGACACCACCATTCCGTTCACTGCCCAGCCATTTTATAGATGGTAATCATGCCAGAGTTCCATCTTCAACCCCGAGTTCATCTCGAAATCTTTCCGAGGGTGTTGTAGATAACAATTCAGTTCTTGAGCGGTTTGTTATTGATCCTAGGTGAGCTTTAATAAACTCTAAACAGCCTATATATATGGAAAATTTCAGCTAGTAGCATTTTTATTTCCTAATTGATCACTTTTATGCAATCATTAGAACTCCTTCCCTCTAGAGGTGATACTAAGGCTACAACTGCTTTTAAATATTAACATTTTAGCATTGGTTGTGCTGTAAATGCCTTGACCATCAAGAAAGGTAAATTTGTACATATGTTGCACTTGCGCTTTGTGCTCTTTTTGTTTTCCCTTTTTTTTTTTTTCTTTGTGAGTTGGACAATGATAGTTAATCCTCTAACATCCCTTTTACCCATCTGACATGTGCTCTAGGTGACTCAAATTACTGCTCAAAATTTGATGAATTTTTGGCTCATCAATTTGTTTATCTTGCTGTGGCAGCAATGGCCTTACTTATCGCAATGTTGATTACATGGCAACATTCAGCAATTCACCATCTCCTGCTGTGCGTGCAATGATGTACGGCAGGAGTCAATCAAGTGGCTTATCGGGGATGGTTCCTGCAGACAATGCAGCTCGGCAATCTGAACAAACTCAGTTTTCATTCAGTGTGCCTTTGAATAATACTCCAGCCATCCAGCAGCACCAGCAATCACCTTCAATTGTTCAACATGAAGCTCTGGAAACCAGTAATGTTGCTCCATCTCCATTCATGCGTGAAATGGTGTTTGGCCAAAATGGATCCAATGACTTCCCACTTCCTGCAGACAATGCAGCACGACAATCTGAACAAACTCAGTTTTTGTTCAATGTGCCTTTGAATAATACTCCAGCCATCCAGCAGCACCAGCAATCACCTTCAATTGTTCAACCTGAATCTCATGAAACCAATAATGTTGCTGTGTCTCCGTTCATGCGTGCAATGATGATTGGCCAGAGCAGATCCAATGACTGCCCACGAAGGGTTCCTGCAGACAATGCTGAACAACAATCTGAACTATCTCAGTTTTTGTTCAACATGCCTTTGAACAATACTCCAGCCATCCAACGGCACCAGCAATCACCTTCAACTGTTCTACCTGAAGCTTGGGAAACCGATAATGTGGCTCCATCTCCGTTCATGCATGCAGTAATGATTGGACAGAACGGATTCAATGACTTCCCGCTAAGGGTTCCTGCAGGCAATGCAGCACAACAATCTGAACAAACTCAGTTTTTGTTCAATGAGCTTTTGAATGATACTCCAGCCATCCACCGGCACCAGGAATCACCCTCAATTGTTCAACTTGAAGCTCAGGAAACCAATAACGTGGCTCCATCTTCATTCATGCGTGCACTGATGTTTGG